TGATACTCTGGACTACATCATCGATCGCTAAGAGAAACGTGCGTGTCATAACAACGATGCATCGTTTTTGACTCTCGTTGGCCACTCTCTATATACGCCAAGGCCTATATTCTATGCCCGATAGAAAACCATTGGCGGAGAAACTGGCCGCCGATAAATTGCGAAAGCGAGGCTAATACGTACAAATACAAGGGTAAATCTCGGTTGCTTTCCTCGGATATAAACAGTCATCAAATCAGTTGGCTCTCTACGAATCACGACACGAATCCTATCCTTCCTTCGAGCACAACCGCAATTCGTTCTTTGTTAAAAGCCGGTTCACGATCGTTTTTCTCCGTTGCACAACGGGGGGAAAGAATAGCCATCCGTTCTAATGAAATTCGACAATTAGAGATTACCGATCTCTTGTTGCGTTGTTGTTTGCGAACTTTAATCGTTCCCAAAACACGATTTTCGATTTATCTAATCGAGTTTCTCAATTCCTATTTGACAAATAACACTTATTTATTATTAAATTGGAAATTATTACGTCTTTCGAAATTAAGAAAATTTTTTTAAAATAAATCCCTATTTATAATCCCCTCCTATTCCTTTCTAATCTTATTCGTAAAAATTTAATTTTACACGACCTAATATCCTATCCTTTTCGAATTAGTTGTATCTCAACAATGAATAATTTTCGTTCTGACAGGCCTCAATCACTTCCACCGTCATGCACTTGCGAAACCCTCCCCTCCTCCATTTTAGATTTACTTCATTTAACGTCTAATTAAACCACGCGGTTGGCCGAAGTTTGACGAGACGGAAAGATTGGGAAACGCGTACGGTTAGACTGTTAATTAAGGGAGTTTATTATCGTATATAAGTTACAGACGCCGTATATTATAATGATCCAAAATTCCGTTGATGAGCACGTGATACTTTTCGCATCAATGCGAGTCTTCCTGCACGAGAATATATATTCTCGCTCTCACTTTTTCCTCGGTCTTGCTGTCTAATGAGCCTGCGAAGACGTGCAAAAACGGGAAAGTCTGTGCTAAAATATAACCGTTTACTGGAAACTGTTACCGTCTCTCAGTTTCGCGTCACACCGATGCCTTTACAATGTACCGACAATTAGCTTTCAACGTTCTCCAACGTCCTATAAATTTTTCATCGATCATGTTCTTTTGTAATTTAATTACAGAACGACGAATTACAGGAGTCGAATCGTGACTTAAAGATGAGTATAAATATATATTCACAGACTTTGAATTTGTGAATGAATTCACCAATGAATGAGAAAATTTTAT